ATGTACATTCGTACGTAAGCTCCTGAGGTATCCAGCAAACAGAGCTGTAAAAAGATGCATCCGAAGAAGTGGGCTGTAGTCCACGAAAGCTTATGCTCCCAATACTTCTGTTAGTCTCAACGGTGCCACAGGACCCTCTGTTGCTTTTTACAGTTTCAGACTAACACGGCTACCCCTCTGATCTGTGGAAGAGACGGCCCAGCCTGCAGTAGCAGCGAGGTTCCCCCCCTGAGAGCTCAGCTGAAATCACAGAGCTGGTGGAACCTCAGGAGACCAACTTGCAAAGGTCACAGTGGCAGGTGGCAGCAGAAGGTGATGGTGCAGGGCAACTGGCAACACAGCGATGGAGTGAACGGTGGCACAATGAACAGCAGTGGCCAGAGCGAACAGTGAGTAGCTGGAGGAACGAGCAAGGTACCTTCTTGCCCCCACCTGGGAGGTGAACTCATGTGAACGCACCTCTGAACTCTGAGTCTCCACTAAGCAAGGACAACACCGGTGAGTGGGGTGCGGCGGAGGGAAAAGTGAGGGGCATGTTAAAAAAACATTTCTTTGTTGGGCTATATTTTAGTGACTTTGCTGCAGAATGCTAAATGTGTTACTGGAATGATAACTTATATAAATATGTTTCCTAGTAGGCCAAGATTTTTAAAAGGCATTATTTGCCAATGTTGTTATCTCACATTGTTGCTATCTTCGGAAGCCATTATGTTAGAGAGTGTCTGTACTAAACATTTTTATTATTATAATTAATTTTTATGTAAGAATGGTCATACTGGGTCAGACCAATGGTCCATCTAGCCCAGTATCCTGTCTTCCGACAGTGGCCAATGCCAGGAGCCCCAGAGGGAATGAACAGAACAGGGAATCAGCAAGTGATCCATCCCCTGGTGCCCATTCCCAGCCTCTGGCAAACAGGCTAGGGACACTCAGAGCATGGTGTTGCATCCCTCCCCATCCTGGCTAATAGCCACTGATGGACCTATTCTCCAGGAATGTATCTGGTTCTTTTTTTAATCCTGTTACAGTTTTGGTCTTCACAGCATCCCCTGGCAAAGAGTTCCACGGGTTGACTTTAGGTTGTGTGAAGATGTACTTCCTTTTGCTTTTTTTAAACCTGCTGCCTATTAATTTCATTGGGTGATTGCTAGTTCTTGTGTTATGAGAAGGATTAAAGAACATTTCCTTATTCACTTTCTTCACACCAGTCAAGATTTTATAGACCTCTATCATATCCCCCCTTAGTCGTCTCTTTTCTAAGCTGAAAATTCCCAGTCATTTTAATTTCACCTCCTGTTTCATACCCCTAATCATTTTAGTTGCCTATCTCTGTACCTCTTCCAATTCCAATATATCTTTTTTGGGGTGGGATGACCAGATCTGCACATAGTATTCAAGGTGTTAGTCTTTAAGGTGCCACCAGACTCCTTGTTATTTTTGTAGATACAGACTAACACGGCTACCCCCTGATACTTGACACGTACCATGGATTTATATAGAGGCAATATGATATTTCCTGTCTTATTATCTATCCCTTTCTTAATGATTCCCAACATTCTGTTTGCTTTTTTGACTGCCGCTGCACATTGAGTGGATATTTTCAGAGAACCGTCCACAATGACTCCAAGATCTCTTTCTTGAGTGTTAACAGCTAATTTAGACCCCATCATTTTGTATGTATAGTTAAGATTATCTTTTCCAATGTGCATTACTTTGCATTTATCAATATTGAATTTCTTCTTCCATTTTGTTGCCCGGTCACCCAGTTTTGTGAGATCCCTTTGTAACTCTTCGCAGTCTGCTTTGGACTTAACTATCTTGAATAGTTTTGTATCATCTGCAAATTTTGCCACCTCACTGTTACCCATTTTTCCAGATCATTTATGAAT